CTCTCCCAGAAACAGCCTTTGGCTGCAGAGAATCAAGTCCAAAACATGGTCAACAAAAACAGTAACTATAAGTCTAGAAATGTCCTGTCTCGTTTCAGCGTCCAGTGAAGCATCATTAGCTGGTGGAGGGGTTCTGACCCAGGCTTCGTAAACCGTAATTATTCACAAACTTGCTTTAAAAGCCAAACCTATTTTATTGCAATGCTGGGAATCGTTTTCATTCCCAGCCAGAATTAATCTCAAAAAGTCCCTCAAGATAAGCACCCACCTTTCAGTTCTGTGAAGTGCTGCCAAAAACAAGTATCAAACGAACTAGAAAAGAAACCAACTGAAGTACAACAAAAGCCAACCGAAGCACAAAGAGCTTCAAGGATGACTCTGAACCGATTGAATGACTTTGCTTCCTGCAAAGATTTCATCATCTTGGCCTGATTTTTATACCTTAGGGGAGGGGCCATCACCTCCCAGCCTTACTCCTGAGTCGCCCCTTTTGTCTTAACTGTTCTTGCCTTCTGGCAGCTCTGCGCACACGCGCACTGGGAACAGGCTCCCCTTGTTCCTCTGCCTCGCTGCTGCCAGACTCCGAAGGCTCCGGAGTCAGCACCCCACTCCCAGATGGTCCTGGCCCCATCTCTGCATCGGATACAGGACCCTCGTCCGAGTCCTCTCCAGACTCCCGGAGTGGTCCCCGTTCTTCCCCACTGTCCGATTCCACTGCCGTCTGCACAGGCTGCCAACGAACCACAACAGGAGGCTCCATTTTAAGACAAGTCAAAGCCGGGATTTCATAAATGTTCAACTTCCTGTGTTGGGAAAACCTGCCTGTCATATACGCAGGGGGAGCATGTAGGTGGTTTATGTCGGCCTGCCTTCCTTTCCTGTGGAAACGCTAATCCTTCGGTTACTAGGCAGATCTGCCGGTGTAGGCGACAGGTGACACCGACTACTTAGCCCGTCTCTCATTGGCACAGAAATCTATTTATTGGGGGGGGGGGGAAGGGGGTATTCTCCAATTGACTTTTTAAAAGCCTGGCCTCTTGATGTCTTTAAAAAACCCCCGAGACTGAAATGTTCTTTAAAAGGATAGCATTTTCTGGAGAGAAAAAAGGAAGTTCTTTTGTCCCCGAAGGAGGACTACTTGAAGCATATTAACAGAGACTTAAATGCAAACTGTGTTTTAAGACACCCCCCCCCCCCACGCACCCACTTTATGGTCTGTGCCTGTTGCTCCTCTCGACGAGGAGGTTTTGAAATATTTCTAGCAGGACTATCAGATTTTGTAACAGCTTTGTTCCCTTATCCCATCTGGCTGGCAAACTCACAAGATTCGTTTTTCTCGCCATAAACACGTATTAACTAGAGACTGTGTTGTTTCTCTGTGTCATATCATATCGGTGGGTATATGCTTAATTTTGTATTCATTTATTTATCTTGTCATCTCCATGTAGTGTAAAACTGGAGCTGGTGACGCTTCAGAGAGCTGCATGCAATGAAATTTCATTTTTAATGTATGCCAATTGGTGTACATTCAAAGTGACAATAAAGTTACTCTATTCTATTCTTCTATTTTCTATTCCTCTTTTATTCCTTTCCATTTCGTTATTCCATTCCATTCCCTATTCTATTCTGTATTTCTATTCCATTCCATTCCATTCTTCTATTTTCTATTCTTATTTTATTCCATTCAGTTTCATTCCCTATTCTATTCTGTATTTGTTCTATTCTATTCTATACTTCAATTATCTATTCCTATTTTATTCCATTCCATATTTTCT